GGGGGACATGATAGCAGTGTTCCAATATCTCAGGGGCTGCTACAAAGAAGAGGGTGTCAAGCTATTTTCCAAGGCGCCTGAAGACAGGACAAGAAGCAACGGATGGAAACAAAGCAAGGAGAGAAGCAACCTAGAACTAAGGAGAAACTTTCTGACAGTTAGAACAATTAACCAATGGAACAACCTGCCTCCAGAAATGGTGAATGCTCCAACACTGGAAGTTTTTAAGAAGAGACTGGACAGCCGTTTGTCTGAAATGGTATAGGGTTTCCTGCCTGAGCAGGGTGTTGGACTAGATGACCTCCAAGGTCCCTTCCAACTTTATTATTATTATTAAGAAAAATTTATGTATGGAATCCTTAAGTAGAACAATCCTTAAGTAGGAGAGGCAGTACTATTCACTCAGCTATGTTGCATCATTGTAGAAGCAGAAACTGCAGTGGCAGAAAAATAGCATTATTCCTCTTGAAGTATGGACAGTCAAAGGGATTTTTTTTCAGGAGTAGAAGTCCTTTGCCTTGGTGCATCATGAATTATTTCCCTTCCCTATTCCTGCAACAAAAGAAAAACTTGTTCATGAGCAAAAATGCACTCATTGAAGACTTTCAGTATTTCTGGAGAGAACTAGAAAAAAGCTCCAACAATTAGATTTCACTAGGTTTTTAAAAAAAAATTGTGCTTTTTACTTACTAAAATGCTAATGCTTACAAGGTTTCAAATCTAAAGAGTCAGATCGAGGCATTCGGTAAGGAAAATATTGGCATTGGATATGTTTGTATGTTCAAGAACGTGTAATTTGAAAGAGTTTTATGAACTTTCATTCTGCCTTCACGTCTAACCCTAATTAATATGAAGCATAATCTAATCAACTGTTCTGTGTCTTATTCTCATACTACCCAGTATATAGCATGTGCTTAATATAGTCACTTTCTTGGACCAGAGATGGTTCTTTTCTGAAAGTTTGTTACGGAAAGTTATGGTTCAAATCCTAATAAGACTGTGGGTCCAGCACATCCTGTCATAAAGTATATTTTTGATATCAGAATACAGTAACGCTCAGAGAATAGGAAATGCGGAAAGAGTTATACACTGGCCACCAAATCAAGGAATTGAGAATGGTAAGGTAGCATTTCATATGAGTATTTCAAGATCAGCTTTCTGCTAAAAGGAGTTAGGTTTAATTTTAAAATCTCTTCCAAGTCTTTTATAGACTTGTACTTTGATGTTTCTGTTATATGCCTATGACTTAGCAAGCATTTGAAACAAGAACATTTTTCAGTAGTATCCAGGAATACCCAGGGATTGTTCTACGTGCAGCTTCTCATCACTTGAAAGCAAAATTGTTTCCACTTGAATGTTTGTTGTATTTGTGTTGCTGCATCAAATTTATATACACTTGGAAAAAACAAAAGAAGTCATCTAATCCAGTGCAGTCTGCGCTAATCTTCTCATTTACTGTGTAAAACAGCACACAATTTTTTTTGTTTTAGTAATTTCATCTATGTACAGAATTGCAGTTCTCTACACTAACCTCATTTACTTTCACACAGGAAATAAGGTAATTTCATAGAACTTCAAATATCTTTGTCCAATGTTTTATTGTATTTTTTCTTTCTTTTTCTTTTTTTTTTTGAGCAGACAAAATAAACACATTTTCTTAGTTTCTGAAGCAAAGATGCAGGAGAGGGGTAGCTGCTTCTACATCTATATAATGTTATGAATAAGAAGGACAGCTTTTGGAAGAAATTGCTTCAGTTTGATGGTTTCTTGTATCAACATTTTTAATACTTTCACCCTTAGTCTAATATGGTGCTATTGGTTAAAGCTTACTGTATCATTCTGCTTGCTCCCCCTAAATATCTTCAGCAGCCTCTTAACATTTACTTGGCTTCAATAGTTAAATAATGTAATTTTGCAATGTTAAATTTTTAAATCCTGCTTCTTCATATCCTCAGTTCTATTAATGTTTACCATTAAACTTTAATCAATCATACATGGTTTAATTATTTTTTAAAAATAACAACTGTAATTTAGGATGCTAATAAGAAATGAAAAAATGGAACTTCTTGCCTTCTCTCACAGCTATAGTGGGGCAAAAAAGTATTTAGTCAGCCACCAATTGTGCAAGTTCTCCCACTTAAAAAGATGAGATAGGCCTGTAATTGTCATCATAGGTAGACCTCAACTATGACAAAATGAGAAAACAAATCCAGACAATCACATTGTCTGATTTGGAAAGAATTTATTTGCAAATTATGGTGGAAAATAAGTATTTGGTCAATATCAAAAGTTCACCTCAATACTTTGTTATATATCCTTTGTTGGCAATGACAGAGTCAAACGTTTTCTGTAAGTCTTCACAAGGTTGGCACACACACTGTTGCTGGTATTTTGGCCCATTCCTCCATGCAGATCTCCTCTAGAGCAGTGATGTTTTGGGGCTGTCACTGGGCAACACGGACTTTCAACTCCCTCCAAAGGTTTTCTATGGTGTTCTGATTTGGAGACTGGCTAGGCCACTCAGGACCTTGAAATGCTTCTTACGAAGCCACTCCTTCGTTGCCCAGGCGGTGGGTTTGGGATCATTGTCATGCTGAAAGACCCAGCCACGTTTCATCTTCAATGCCCTTGCTGATGGAAGGAGGTTTGCACTCAAAATCTCACGATACATGGCCCCATTCATTCTTTCCTGTACACGGATCAGTAGTCCTGGTCCCTTTGCAGAGAAACAGCCCCAAAGCATGATGTTGCCACCCCCATGCTTCACAGTAGGTATGGTCTTCTTTGGATGCAACTCAGCATTCTCTCTCCTTCAAACACGACAAGTTGTGTTTCTACCAAACAGTTCTACTTTGGTTTCATCTGACCATAGGACATTCTCCCAATCCTGGATCGTCCAAATGCTCTTTAGCAAACTTCAGACGGGCCCGGACATGTACTTGCTTAAGCAGGGGGACATGTCTGGCACTGCAGGATCTGAGTCCCTGGCGGTGTTGTGTGTTACTGATGGTTGTCTTTGTTACGTTGGTCCCAGCTCTCTGCAGGTCATTCACTAGGTTCCCCCCGTATGGTTCTGGGATTTTTGCTCACCGTTCTTGTGATCATGTTGACCCCACGGGGTGAGATCTTGCGTGGAGCCCCAGATTGAGGGAGATTATCAGTGGTCTTGTATATCTTCCATTTTCTAATTATTGCTCACACAGTTGATTTCTTCACACCAAGCTGCTTGCCTATTGCAGATTCAGTCTTCCCAGCCTGGTGCAGGTCTACAATTTTGTTTCTGGTGTCCTTCGACAGCTCTTTGGTCTTCACCATAGTGGAGTTTGGAGTGTGACTGTTTGAGGTTGTGGACAAGTGTCTTTTATACTGATAACAAGTTCAAACAGGTGCCAATTAATACAGGTAATGAGTGGAGGAGCCTCTTAAAGAAGAAGTTACAGGTCTGTGAGAGCCAGAAATCTTGCTTTTTTGTAGGTGACCAAATACTTATTTTCCACCATAATTTGCAAATAAATTCTTTCCAAATCAGACAATGTGATTGTCTGGATTTGTTTTCTCATTTTGTCTCTCATAGTTGAGGTCTACCTATGATGACAATTACAGGCCTCTCTCATCTTTTTAAGTGGGAAAACTTGCACAATTGGTGGCTGACTAAATACTTTTTTGCCCCACTGTATAAATCACTTTGGGACAAATATCACAAATGACAAAGTTTGTAGGTGTCTTTCTTCTCTTTTCTTCCCTTAGAATAATTATTCTAGAATTTACCTTGGCAAAGCTAGACATTGATCAAATACTGGAAAATTTTGGTTAAATTCTGTGAAAAATTTAAGAAAAATTAATCTCAACTGATTCCCAGTGATCTCACTGGAACATCTGGCTAAGTATTGTAATATCATAATTGCTATTCTAAATTATTAGTACACAGTAAAACTGCTTTGATAATGTGTTGAGCAACATAAAATAATAACAATTGCACATATCATAACTATTGAGCAAATGTTTACTATATAATTTTAATATGTACCTCCTGAGATCATTGTAGAAGCTGGATCATTCAGAGCCAGACTAATCTCTTGGGTGTATATTAGATATTATTTCCTTGCAGTACTAAATATTGTATCCTAGTATGAATGCTTATTATTTTATGATTGGTTTTAAATTATGATAGAAGATGGATTTATTTTCCTTTAAAGTTGGCATTAGCTTGTTGGTTCTTAATTTCTAGTCAGACAATCAGACCTATTTGTCTGATAGGTGACAGATGGTAAATACAGTAAATAAATATTAGAAAACAAGTATTGACTGGGGGGAGATAACATGCATCCCTGATGGTTGTATTTATGTGTGTGATCTTGCCCAAACTAAACTGTAGATTATTTTTAGGTTTGGAAAAAAAATTAAGACTTTACTTCATCCTAGTTGTTATTCATTCTGCTGCCCTGTTACTATTATCACTAATTTAGACTTGCCTAAGTATTATATTGTTTTGGAAGTTTAAGTACTTTTAATTGCCTCGACATACACATAGATTGCTTTATAACAGTAGAATACAGAAAAGGCAGAAGGAAGTATGGCAGCACATATTATATATTCACAAGATCCAAACAACATTGGATCCATTCTAGAACCAAACCATGATACAAAATCTTTGCATAGTCCCACTATAAAGCAGTGCTATGAAACAGAAGTACTGTCTCATTCAGTGGGTAGTGTTAGAGGTATGAATATATGCACACAGTCCATGCTGTTTTCTTCTATAGTTTCCCTTTTAAATTTATAAAAGAAGCGTCTGATACTGCTCTCTACTAAGCAAAGTCTATGACATAATAATATGCAGAGCCATTTGTTGTAACTAAGTGTATTTTTTTTCTCCCAAGAAGCTTGTAAGAGAGGTGAAGCCTTCAAGATTTATTGTGTATTCGTTGATTTATCTAGTATCCATTGATTTTTCTTTTTTCTCTCTCCTTCCTGCTTTCTGATATTCCTGGCTTCTCCAGGTTTCAAAGGTCAATGGTATCACTCGAATGTCAACTCTGAGTGCAAATACAGCCAGTGCCAAAAAGATGAGAGACGTCAGACCTTCACCGTCCAAAACTGTGAAGTACACTGCAACAGTGACTAAGGGAACTGTCACATACACCAAAGCCAAGAAAGAACTGGTCAAGGAAACCAAACTAAATCACCACAAACTCAGTACACCTGTCAACCACACAATCTCAGGGAAAATGGAAAGTAGCAATGCAAAAACCCGTAAACAGGTGCTATCCCTTGGAGTGGCCAAGCCCAACAATACAGCTATTAATGGTGTCAAGGTCAATGGCAAGTTGAACCAAAAGTCATGCACTAAGGAGGTAGGGAGGCAGTTGAGGGAAGGGCTGCGCAATTCAAAAAGGAGGCTGGAAGAAGCAAACCATATAGACAAAATACAGTCACCTGTCAAGAAAGTGAAAGGGGCCACATATGTGACTGAAACCCCAAGCAAAAAAGCACCATCTGTGGAAAGACCTTTGCTGAATGGCCATGTGAAAAAGCCTGGAAGTCAGGAGGTGCCACAAAAAAGTCTGGAAAGGAATAGGCCGAAAAGAGCTGCTGCTGGGAAGAACACGCCAGGGAAACAAGCACATAGCAAAACAGAAAATGCCTCCTGTGAACATTATTCTACCTCTCAAACAGAGTCCTTGCACAAGCCACACGACTCAACAGGGAAGCACGAGAAAGGTAGCATCAAGTCTGGGTGGGCCATGATGGAAGAGATTCCTATTCTCAGGCCTTCCCCCAAGGAGTTCCATGACCCATTGATATACATTGAGTCAATCCGTGCTCAGGTTGAGAAGTATGGGATGTGCCGGGTGATCCCTCCTCCTGACTGGAGGCCTGAGTGCAAGCTGAATGAAGAGATGCGGTTTGTGACCCAGATCCAGCACATTCACAAACTCAGCAGGCGCTGGGGGCCCAATGTGCAGCGTCTGGCCTGTATCAAGAAGCACCTCAAATCTCAGGGCATTACTATGGATGAGCTTCCACTCATAGGTGAGTCCCTTATTCACACAGGCTTTTTGTTGGTCTTTGTGGCAAGAAACCATTTTGAGTGCTGATTTATTTTCAGATTAATCCTCAGCGAACACAAAGCACTGGTAGAGGGTAAGCAATAGATTTCCATGCCGTTTCATACAGACTAGTCCTCTTCAAAGCAAACATACTCAAATTTCAAAAGTATCTTATTTTATGCCTTGAGAAGAGATAGTGATCAGACACATATGTAGTAAGATAGGCCTCATCTACTCTACATTTGGATTTTAGGGGGTTCCCAGGGAAGCTATGTGGATCAAGAGCATATAATTACTCCCCCCATCCCCATATTTAACTTTTCTCCTCATGAGAAAATATGGAAAGGACAAAGATTAGGGAAAGATAGGTGGGTAGGAGGAGTTGAAGCATTCACGTGACCGTGGGAATGCTGCAACAGCCATAACTTTGGGGACCACTCAGCAAGTTCATTTTTTTTCTAGCACCATCGTAACTTCAAACAGTTGCTGAATGAATGGTCATAAGTCAAGGACTACCTGTAAGCTTTAAACAGATAGGTTGACAAAGTATAATTAGTACAATCAAGTTTCAGGATTTCATCCAATATGCTACTTTTATTTTTAAGACTCTGTTGATTTGGGGAATACAAAAGAAAATAGTGAGCACAGTCTTTTTTTTTTCAGGGAATACGAAGTAAATGTTTAAATTAATGATAATTAATTTAATGGTAATAAATTATAATAAGCTTTTGAATATATATAAATATGTAAGCTTTTGAATTATAATTAAATTAATTAATTTAATTAAATTGAATTATAATTAAAGCACCTTTATAATCTGTATATTTTTTAAAAGGCAGTATTTTTTGTGAGATGTGCTCTTTGTAAACATAATCAATACTTTCATTCATTAAGTGGCAGCAGATAGTTACCATTTGAAGTGTTTAGTTAATAGAATTTATTGGGCTTCTGTTAAACCTGCTCATGCGTGTACTTAGCATAACTGACTTTGTTCAGATGAATTTTGAATCTGGAGAAGGCCACAGTTTTGAGCTATTGAGAATTTTGAGGTGTGCCGTGGCTACCACAGGAAAGCTTGTCCAATTGCCAACTGGCTACTCTAATGGACATGGCCAGTTAGGAAACCAAAGGACTGGTGTGGAGACCACTGGTTGGAGATAGGCACTTTGCTTTGCAGCCTGCCAGCTTCCCAGTTTGTTTCTGTATACAGAATCTAAAAAGGAATAAAAAGAATCTAAAAAGGAGTGGATCAGGGAGCTTGCATGCAGCAAGGTAGACAGAAGAAATGGGTCATACAGCCAGCTCATTCCCTTCTTCAGCTCTTTCAGTTTAGCATAATTATAATGAGCTGGCATGAACCTTGGATGCTTGTACATTCCCACTCTGTTTAGGTACAGTTGTGGAAAGGAAGATAGAAATGGTTAATTCCATCCTAAATTCACAGCGTGTTACCACACTTGGTGATTTATTTACTAGTGTTTGTTAAAACAGGTCAAAATAGCCCAATTTTGACACTGGCTTGTTTCTTCGTATATCAAATGATAACATGATGTTGGATGATTTTCCTGTATCATGATACAGTGTTGTTTACTACAGTCATTTCAATGGAAACTTCAACTGCAAGAGAAGCCTTTGTTTTGCAGCCTTGCTAGAGAAGGGAAGTTGATGTGTAAACCTGAGACGGGCCCACAGGTCCTCTAAGGCAGGGGTTCTTAAACTGGGCAAATTTCTGAATATCCTGAGGGTGATGGAGCAATTTGTAATTGCTTGTTTGTGAGTTGAGGGTCCAGTTGTGGGTCTGTCAAGACGTTTGTGTCAAACAGCAGATTTGGGAGTTTTGTGGGAATAATGACATTATTTGAGACCATGAAAAGGAATAATTTGTCAGATAATTTAAGAACTACCGCTTTAAGGCAAAGAAGAACACCAGCATTTAAGAAAATATCAAAGCCTAGAGAAGGAACCGCCAGTCATTTCTGATACAGTGGTACCTCAGTATTTGACTGCTTCAGAACTCGTCAGATTTGGTACCTGACACATTTTGACATCAAAATATTGTCCCGTGCTCATCTTTGTTCGGTACTTGACACACTGCAAAAGGAAGTGGGGGACAGCTGCAGAGGACAGGACAGGAGGTCGGCCATGTTGAGAAGCTCGCTGCAAAAGGAAGCGGGAGACAGCGCACAGGGTAGACAGGAAGTTGGCCAAGCTGGGAAGTTGCTGACATAGGAAAAGGAACTGATAGGAAGTTCTCTCCAGCTGAAACAAAGGGGCCAAGTGGTAAGTCACATGGTTTGTTTGCTACTCATCCTTTTTAGTGTTCGACATGCCTCTCAGAGCCAATTAAGCATGAGTACCGAGGTACCACTGTATTGTACTGTTATAGCAGTGTTGGGAACATGTCTTCCTGAGAATAAGACTGGTAAACTGCTGTTTGGCATTAAATCTGAACCCAGTTATATCTGAATTGTGTTAGTTCTTTTCTTCCACAGACTGATTTCTTAAAAAAAAAAATAGCTGTACTTGGAATAAAATTTAATTCTTTTTTATTTGTATATAACATAGGTATTATAAAAGGATGCAAAGTAAATTTACTTCATTCAAATGCTTCCCTATCTTTTTTGGCCTGAGGACAAAAAGGTATATTGTTCTCATTAAGGCTATTGATTAGACTGCAATAGAGATTTTTCCTGCGAGTTCTTCAGTTTTTTGAAAAAGTCCTATTTTTCATTAAAATTATTAACCAAAGTGTTAGTTCTATTAAAAGAAGCTTGAATGTTAAATAATTGCTAAAGGAAAAAAGTGTCAAGGCAATATGTTTTGAGAAAATGCATAGGCTACTATGAAAACAAACACTGTAATATCTATCTTAACACAGAATATGTTTGAGCTCCCATTGAAATGGCTAAAGAACAAGTTTTTATATTAATAGTCTTGCTTCTTTGAATCCAAATGACTTTTTTATTCAGGCACTATTGAAATTAGTGTCCTGTTAGTATTAAAAATCTGGAATATTTTCAGAACTAGTCCTGTAAATTTTCTTCGTATTAATTCTTAATATATGTTGTTAATTTTAACAGGAACTGTTAATATTTTGACAAAAATTCACATTTGGCTCCCATTTTTTCATGTGTTGTGTGTCCTTAACAAAGTGCAAAGAAGTGAAAAACATCTTCCCCCTAAACAGATTTTGAATCATCCCAAATTCTTCAAAGTATTATGTGTTCTAAACAGAGATCAGAATAAATATATTACCCTCTCATTTTGTTAAAGAACACACACACATATATATGATTTGTGAGCAACACCAAATATAATTATGCAAATATTATATTTTATTGGTCTGAGGACAGTATACTTGATAGTTTTTTTTTTTATACCATATGTATCTTGGGTACAATTCTGTACATTTCAAAAGTTTGTTTTCCTGGTATATGATTAAAACAGGTTGTATTGATGAGAGTATTCCCTTAATTACTTACACACACACACACACACACACACACACACACACGTATAAAAAGCTATTATGAGAAGCTAGAGAAATAACTAGGCCCTTTAGGAGGAAAAAAGTAAAGGCCAAAGTGGTTCCAGTGGCGGTAGAGACACTTAGATCTGTGACTTCTAAGCTGGGAAAGTGGCTCAAACAGATCCCAGGAACAACATCTGAGTTTTCTATCCAGAAGAGAGCAATGTTAGATACTGCACAGAAACAAATTCCTAGGCCTCTGGTAGAGGACCTGATATTAAGGAAGACACACCACCCATAAGAGTAAGAAGGGATTTACATACATACATACATACATACATACATACATACATACATACATACATACATACATGTGTGTGTGTGTGTGTGTTATTGGCTGGGGATGTCATGCTTGTTATTACATGTTTATAAGTATTGGTCTGGATGTAATTCATTTTATATACATTATCTGTTATTGACATGTGGGTATCATGTTTGATAATCTTTATTAAAATGTCATATGAGATAGAGTTACTAGAAATGAATAACGTAGGAGTGCATCTTGTTCGGTCTCTCTTGCTTAGCTCCTTCGATTAAACAAATCAAATTGAAAGCTGGCTTTTTAAGAATTAATGCATGAACCAAGAATTCTGGCTTGCTCTTCTTAATAAATAATTATCAAAAATTATTATTTGCTTTATGACTTTGGCTTATTCAGCCTTCTGGTTCACACATATTCCAGAAAAACCATGTATTGATCTCTCAAGGTTTGTTTAGCCATGCCTGGTTGGAGTGATCCAACAGCTTGTCTTTCTTTATTAACATTGCTATGTGTCGTGTGAACTCAGCTAGTATATTTTGCACCATCGGCAGACATTTATTTGCACATGGTCCCTCTTCTTAAACCTCAGAAGCTGACTTCACTGAGTGAAATCACCAAAGTGTGCTTATGTTTATATTGAAAATATGAGCTACAGTATACATTTCACTTGGTCTTGGAATAGTGGTTAACGGTAACCACCAAACTAAATTGGACTGAGTCTGTATGACAAAGTAAAAACACTAATTCAGCTGCTCACATTTACAGCAGAATTTTATGTAATAACTCTACCTTCTAAGCTTTTGTAGCAAGGGAAAGAAAAGTGCTATTTCAATGTAAATAGATGGACATAAAGGGGCAAGGACTTTTGTTGCCTGTTGCACTAAGCTGTACCTTGTTTAACTGTGGTTTGTGGAATAAAAACCATTGGCTATATTCAAAAGTACTGATTAATAATCAAACAAAGCATATTTTGGTATGGTGATGTGCAAACACAAGCAGAGAGAAATAGGTACATTCCTGTTTGAAGCAGATTTCCATTCTCCGTATGGTAGATTTCTACAGCAGCAGATAGGGAACTTAAAAATGGAAAAAGAATAATAGATTCATGAAGTAATCATAGTAATTGGGGGTGGGAAGTGTTTTTCTTTATTTCTGTTTGTTTTGTTTCACTTACAAAACTAGCAAAGAAATAATACCTAATTAGCATGCTGGCCATATAATTCTGCCTAGGCTTCAACTTTTTTTAATTGCCCATGAAAAACCAGCAAAGGAAAGACTAGACTATAATCCTTCTCCTTAGCCTCTGGTTTTCACAGAGAGGTTTTGCGTTTAAGTAAAAAGTTACTTTCATCTCCAACTAAATTGATACTCTCCAGACATATTCATAAAAATTAGGGCCTGAATGAATGTGGTCTGTGTTCAATTTCCTTAACAAATTTCTGTGTTTCCCTTTTTTCTTTTTTTCTTTTTTTTCCTTCCTGCTTTTCTGCTGCATTGACCTCCAGGAGGCTGTGAGCTAGATTTGGCCTGCTTTTTCCAGTTGATCAATGAAATGGGGGGTATGCAGCAGGTGACTGACCTCAAGAAATGGAATAAGCTGGCAGATATGCTGCGTATCCCCAAAACTGCACAGGACAGGTTAGCAAAACTGCAGGAAGCCTATTGCCAGTATCTACTCTCCTATGATTCCCTCTCTGCTGAGGAGCACAAGAGACTGGAAAAAGAAGTCCTCCTTGAAAAGGAGATTCTAGAAAAGCGGAGGGGTCCTTTGGAAGGACATTCAGACAACAACTATGAATTCCAGTCTCTGCCCCGCTACGAGCCCAAAAACGGACTCATCAATGGCATTGTTCATAAAAATGGCTTCCGGAACAAAGCAAAAGAAGTTGAGGTCCCTCAAAAAACAGGTAGGCGGCGACTCTTCTCTCAGGAAAAGGAGACCACAGTGGAAGAAGAAGAAGAGGTTGGTGTTCTTTGTGACCTCCACAAGTGTATATACAAGGTCAGTAGAAATCTTGCTGGGGTCTTGGCTAGAAAGCACATCTAAAATGCACATAGTATTTTTCACTCACTCTGCCAGCTCTCATTTAGTTCAAACAGTGGTTTGGAATGCTTATTTTGCTTGTCGCTGAGCTCATCCATTTGCAAAGGAATGTTGATTCCTCCACTCAGTTTGATTTGGCAGCCTTCCCACTGTATTAAGCATCTGGCACCACCACATGCTGTGTAATTGTTAGTAAGATTGGATTGAGTATGTTGAAATGCTAAGGGAGGATGAGATACATTGCTTTTTTTACGTTGGTACTTGTGTCCAGTGCTCACTGCTTTTCCATCACTGCTCTTTATCCCATTGCTGTGAACTGATAATTAGATGCTGCTTAGAAGACTGCACAGACACAAGTCAGTGGTTTTATTTGAAGTAATCACCATTTTCAGGAACCGAGATCTGTATAGATAGACTCCCACACTAAATATTGTTTAGGTTTCTATTAGCCAGATTCATATCCCTGTTTTTTTCCCACAAGGATACAGGCAGGGTATGTGAGATTAATACCCTTTTACCTTGCCTTCTCTGTCATTATGAAAAAGGTGTGAGACCTTGTCCTACCTTAAGTATTAGTTAGGGAATAGATAAAATTGGCTTTTCTATATCCATTTAACATGTGCAGATCCTTTTAATCGGTTGCCAAAGAGCATATAGGCTGGGAGTTCTGGTCCAAACACATCTCACATCCATTTGATTTGGGGGATGCTCTACAGCAGTGTTTCCCAAACTTGACAATTTTAAGGCATGAGGACTTCAACTCCCAGAATTCCACAGCCAGCAACGCTGGCTGTGGAATTCTGGCAGTTGAAGTCCTCATGCCTTAAAATTGTCAAGTTTGGGAAACACTGCTCTACAGAATGAGTTTAACCATCTTGATGAATATATTTATATACCTATTGTTATCTCAGATGAGAATTTTCTCATTTGGATTTTGGTGGCTGAGTATTATCCTTAAAAGAGTCTGGGTTCTTAGGAGAATCTGTCCCTCTGTCTTCAGATAATTCATGATTTATTTTTAACTCTAAATAGCAGATTAAAATATATATTATATGACCACTTCAAACTCATCCATGTTCAAGCTTTTGTTTGGTTGTATAGTTGCAATATGTTGGCCTACAAAGCATATCGACGTGGCTTGTCTTATCAATATCTTCCTTAATTTTAGCACAGATGTAGGCTATGTTGTTGGGGGTTATACTGCCATCTGCAATTCTCCCTGTGACAAGTAATCCTATTTCCATAACAATAGTTGGTATGGTTTGCAGCTGAATACATTTTAAGAGCCTATCATCCAACCAAGCTTAAAACTATGGTATCTATTAGAGGGTCACCATCTTTTCATATTTATATAGCACAATAAACGTGTATTAGAATGTTATAAGATTAAATTTGAGTTTTAGACAATGCTTGTTTCTAGGGCAACCATGGAAAAAACTTTGAGCAGCTATTCCCATCTTTTCCTTTGTCCAAAAAAACAAACAAACAACAACCCAGGACTAGTCTAGATATGAAGTCAGCATCATCCAGATCCCCTGAAAATTGACTATACCAGCGTAAGGACAACATTAAAATCTCATCTGGAAACAATCTAGTGAACAAAATAGGAAAAAAAAGAGTCCACTGACTATATACAGTATAATGAACAGCATTCTTGGCGTTAGGGGTTCCAATCTTGGGAGCTATGGTCACATTTGATAATTGTAGAGTATATAATTGGACTCGCAGAATATGACCACTATAGAAGGCATCCCCATTCATAAAATGATTACCATAGTAACCATGCTCAAAGAACACTCATGTATTGGTAAAATAAACTGGTAGAATTACTTTTCCCCATTTTTTCTAATTTCTATATACTCTATTAGCTCCTCCATTGCCTTTGTCTTATTTTGATATTATGCATATTTACAAACCAAGCATTAGGCTGTAGTCAAAATGGACATTCTTAGAAAAGAATGTCCATTTTATCTATCTGGAATCTAGGAGTATTTTGGGAAATAATGACACTAAAGATTGATGCTTTTCTTTTCATGCCAGCTTTCTTTTAATTTTGTTTTAGTTTGTAAAAATTGCTTAAAACTTAAAGGTTATTTCAGAAGGGGACTAGCATGTACTATGTTTAGGTTCCCAGTTTTATGCTACTTGCACATATTGATTAAACTTGGCCTTTTTCATTTGTGAGACCTCCTTCTGCCTGCTAACCTGTGTTTGTTTCCTTTGAGGTGTTTTCTTTATTGATTTCTTTTCCATAATATTACATTTGAATCATGTCCATTTTGACAGCTAGCTATATTAGCTTTGTTACAATGTTTACAACTTTCTTTTTTGTTATTCCGCTGACCTTGGTTACCAGAACCAAGTGAACTAAGTATAATTCTAATACTAATGACTGGGTCTTTTTGCACATTTGCCTTAAAGTAAGCATTTAATATGTAAATAATTCTTTTTTTTAGTATTGTTGCTTGAAATAGCTTTTCATAGCTAAATACCTGTGAAAAGAGAATGCCAGGCAAAAGGGTATTCGTTCTAATATGTACCTGCATGGCTATTTCAATACTTTTCTTAAAGGCCTTGCTTTCCTGCAATTTATGTAAGTAAAGGTGCACTTAATCTGTCTCAAATAGAAAAAAATGGGTATTTGGAAAAAACATGATTATAGTTATATGTATAATACCAAAGAGTCCGGCTCTGCAAACCTGGTCAGTTAGAAATTAAATTCTGTTTTAGTGCTCCATGCATTGACCTCAAGAACTTCAACCGTTTCTCACTGTGCATCAAAATATAGTTTCTGTTGAAATGACCCAGTGTTTGCAAAGTAGGATTTAGAAACACAGATGAAATCATGAATAATTATGGTTTGCCGGGCAAGCACAAGCCATAGTTTCAGTTTTAGCCAGGAAATCTAGCTTATGAGCTCTGTCATTCTTAAAGCCAAGTTCACATAGCATTTAAAATCCAGAAACTGTGAGCAAAAATGATCAGAGGGATTTGAATTTTGATTTTTGTCCAAGAAATCCTTTCCATATCTATACAAATGTTTTGAGAGAACTCACATACACTATATATTTTTCTATTTAAAATCAAATTGACATTGTATGAGTATAAATATTAGGCAAAATTGGAATTTAAGAAGGGCAAAAGAAAGCTTTCATTGGAGATTTCTTTATGATGAATGAAAAAGATAAGGACATCTGTTGTAAGGACTTCTGATATTTGTCATTCTCTCCCTAAAGATTACCAATTGTTAAAAATAGTTTCTGCTTTCAATTGCTTGGCAAAAATTGACAAACAAGTACTCAAAATCTTTTGGTATTAGTTTTGCTTTTTTTTTTTTTTTTTTTTAAAGATAGGTGCTCCAAGCTAGATTTTGGCTAGGAAAAATATTTTGAGCAGTGTTATCACTCTGCATGTATATCCTAGCTGAGAAGTAACCCTGCAAAATAGTTTGAAGATTAGAAGCTCATCATTTTTCCAGTAAAACTGAGTTGTGGTTGCAAAATCAGCCAACATTGACTAGTGCTGTCCTTGGAGTTACCAGGGAGTATTGCAGGTGGCATGGATTGCTGTTGCTGAGATTAGTTTCCCCCCCCCCCCATACTTTATCTTGTAAAAAAAAACAGTAGTTAAAAGTTCACACTGATTAAAATCATTATGGGGTTGGTATCAGTGAGCCCATTTAGTAATGACAGTGAAATCTGAAAAATTGCCGTTTGAAAGTGTAAGAAAAATATATGGTAAAGACCCTGAAGTGAAAAAAAATCTATGAATAAATATCTATGAAAAAAAAAATAGATATGATGTTTGTGTGGAAATGGTAAAATGTAATAAATGTGAATGAAGACAGGATAGTTTAATTTTGTGGAATTGACAAATATATGCAGAGAATGAAGGTTTGGATTTAATTATGAATGAAAACTTGTGTTCAGCAGCATGAATTGGCATCATCTTGGTTGTTATAAGTGAAAATAGCAACATGTAGGTTGTTGATAGTTGCTTGTTATGCTCCATACATGGTGAAGAGGGCGGGGCAAAATTATGCAATTTTCTGAAAGAATGCGATCTAGAAAAAAACATCCTGGATGATACGAATGAATGTGTGGATATAAGATGAGAGAGAGTGCAGAAAATATAGGCTCTTCAGAGACTCAGGAATAAATGAGAAAAATAACTGGAAAATATCCACTTGGAAAACACTTTTATTTTTTAAAACTATGGCTTTATATATGACTGCTAATATCTACACATGGCAGGGAAATTAGCATAAATATTTGGTTGGTTATGATAGTAATAGTAATATCCCATAAAACAATAAAATGACTGTACAATATAGTACGTTATAAAAATCATGGTACCGAATTAGTCACTGACAAAATAAGGCTTAAATTCATGTGGAAGAATTCTGTCTTCTCAGTCTTCTTGAACCTTGCCAGGGTCTGTACTACCTGAAGCGTCTGGATGAGGGTGGGCTTCACAAAATGAGAACCACCATGGAAAAAACATTGCCTTTGGGGCCCATAATCTTTCATGTAATATGCATTGGGAACCCTGTGCCTCCCTATGTGGGATGAGCACTTTGGACAGATTAGTTACATTTGGAAAAGATGGCGCTAGATATACTAAAAGCCATACCATGTACAGCTTTAAAGGTTAAGGTCAACATTTTTCATTGCACCCAGAAATCTTATCACTAACATCTGTATTGTATGATGTTGCAGTTCTTACTCACTAACGTGGGATACTGCGTTCTGCACCAAGAGCTTTTCTAGAGTGATTTTGAGAACAGCCTCATATAAAGTGTTTTCAGAAGACAGTTCTGGCTTTTATAAGGACATGAGATACTATCAGCAGGGCCTCCCATTTCATAGGACTTCAAGTTGTATGCTACAGAAGCAGGGCAATGGTTTCTCTGACTGCGACAATAATTTGCATATCGTATCCAGCAGGAGTCATATGTTCAAGAGAAGTCACAAGTTGCCATCTCATGCAGAGCTAAATCTGGAGCCCACAGAAAACCAGATGGTTTATGGGCAAAACCCATTTGGTCTTTTTAGGACTCTACTTCATTCTTTTTAATCCTGGCTGACCACAACAGTCTCCAGATTGTCAAGATTTCCACAGCATCTCCAGGTCAGCACAGAGTAGAAATAAATAGCTGAGTTTAATTGGCATACTTCTGCTTTAGTGAGTGAGGAGAGGGTAATAGTATTTGTCCCTGATCGTGATCAGATCACTTTTTGATTACTTTGGAGTCCTGTATGCCTATGCAGGAAATAAAACCTATGTGATTATTTTTCACCAAGAGCCTAATGGCCTATTGTGTTTCAAAAGGGACTTGAAGTTGTTCTTGAACAGACCTAGGCATTTTATAGTCTCTGGGCCACGTCCAGTCCTTTGGTTGCCCCTGTCCAGGCGGCAGCAGTTGGGTAGTGGGCCATAGCGGTGAAAGAGGGCAAGGCAGAGGCCCTCCACAGCAATCCCAGTTTCTCATGTGGTCTCTTGGGAAAAATAATTGCTTACCCCTGTTCTTGGGGTTTGGTATACTTAATTTGATTGAAGCCTTAGTCACCACTTGGAAAGAGGAGGTGACAGTGATCTGGGATCATATTGTTCTTATGCATTCTTCCTTTTCTTGGAAGCTGCCATGTTTTTGTAGGGCCTCTAGGAAATGAAACGGCAGAAGAGATGTCTAACGCCTTGTTGAAAGAAAACAAAGAGGTAGATGCTAGAGAATACCAACCACTTTCCAAAAGCCAAAATACATCCCAGATCACATTATAAGACTTTTCCGCAATCACTCTTCACTCACTCATCAAGTGTTAAGACTCTAGCACATGGGTGTCAAATTCAGTCGTGTCACGTGAACATATCATGATGTATTGTGACATTTTTTGCCTTTGGGAAGCTGTGGTGGGCATGGCCTGCGCGTGACACATCCGGCCTGTGGGCTGCCAGTTTGACACCCTCCTAAGAACCCGGACACTTTTAAGCTACAGCTCTTAAGCATCTTACAGAGTATAAACAATTAGGGCTAAAACAGTAACAGGAACTGATTTAGGGTGAAATTGAACTGAGGGATTGTGAAGGACAATTTTAGAGATCTGTATGAAAATTGTAGTTACTGTATTTGCCAAAGAGTAAAATAGAAAGAAGTGCTATAAATATTACTATCTAAGGAAAAATGATGAAGTCTCAAATGCTGTGAAAATGTTATAAATACTGAAGAATGTTATAGGTGAAGATGGTATGAGTGAAGAAAATTTAAAATATAGATGAGGTGTCCTTATGGAGTGGCTGTTCGGTTAGTTCAGGGGTAGGCAACCCAAAACACTCAAAGAGCCACTTGGACCCGTTTCTCACCAAAAACAAAACACCGGGAGCCGCAAAACCCTTTTGATATCTAAAATGAAGATAACACTGCATATATCCTTTTTTACCTTTATTATAGGTGTGTGTGTGTGTGTGTGTGTGTGTGTATGTATGTGTGTGTATGTATATATATGTGTGTGTGTGTGTACACACACACACACACACACACATTAAAAATAAAAATATCACTCTTGGGAATATTCATACTATTAAAACAATGATCACCAAGAGAATGCTTTAAGAGAATAAAATTACATACACACACACAGGTAAAAAAAGGATATATGCAGTGTTATCTTCATTTTAGATGTCAAAAGGGTCTGTCTCTCTTCCTCCCTCCCTCTCTATCTGCCCTTGGTCTGCCACTCCTCTTTCCCCGCTCTCTTTCTTTCTCTCTCTCTCTTTCCTCTCTCTCTCTCTCTCTCTCTCTCTCCCTCCCTCTCTCTCTTTCTCTCTCTCTCTTTCTCCCCCCCCTCCTATCTGCTGCTCACCTGGCAAGCTTCAAACTGTTGTCCAACAAGCTCAGGGGTAGGCAACCTCGTCTCTTTTATGACTCATGGATTTCAACTCCCAGAATTCCTGAGTCAGCCTAGCTGGGCTAGCTAGCTCTCTCCTGCCCTTCCTGCTTCCTGCTTCCTTCAGAGACGCAGCAAAGGGAGGAGCTCCGCCCAGAAAGCTTTTCAGCTCCTCCGAGAACACTGTGAGTGCACTCTCTTTTACACACACACACAAAACACACACACACACACACACACACACACACACACAGAGAGAGAGAGAGAGAGAGAGAGAGAGAAGCAGGGAAGTGCAATTGCCTCTCTCTGTCTCTGTCTCTCTCTGCAAAGGCAGAGGAGGCTGGGAGCCACAGGGGAAGGCTCAAAGAGCCACATGCGGCTCTGGAGCCGCAGGTTGCCGACCTGTGGGTTAGTTTAATCTGCAACTCTGATGATTGGAAGAATGACCTTCTGTACAAAAGGAAAGTTAGGAAGAGCAAATGCAAAAGTTGAAGAAGGGGGTAATTTTTTTAAGTGTGCATGAGAAAATGTTTGGCAGAGTTATGATTAAAAGGGTGTAAGAAGAGATAATGAGCAAGGTCTGCAGCATGGCTTTGTGCGGGGAAGATGTGTAGATCAGGGTTTTTTCCTCTTCAGCAATTCATCAGGCAATGTGTGAGAAAGAAACCTTACTATGCTTTTGTTGATTTATGGAGTGCATATGATCAACAGAAGAGGTGTGAGCTATGGTTAGTGTTGTTTGCTGAATCCAGTCAGAATGGTATATAATGGAAGTAAAGCATGTGTAAAAAAAATCATTGGAATGCCTAGGGACAAAGTTCGCCATTGAGCCTGGAGTACAACAAGAACATTTGATGTCTCCTTAGTAGTTCAGTTTATTTATAGATAAACATACATAGAATGCCTATGGTAATGTTAGAAAGGTATTGGTTTGAGAAATGCATGTTCTTTTTATGTTTTTGGCTGAAAACGCAAATGATTTGCAACAGATCTTAAATTGTATACTTTTATACAATTAATGAATCAAAAACACTCTGCAAAATATTACTTACCCTGAAATGAAATAGTATTTATCATTTATGAATGATTATTTCTTTGTGTCAATACATCCTATAAAATAAAATAAAAATCAACAATTGAATTGACTGAAATATATCAGTAGATTGAATTGAACTAATTTAAGCTGTAGATAGCAGAATTTTTTAAACTACTCATTGTGTGCTCATCCATGATATACAGTATACCAGCTTTGAATTCCACAATCCAGCCAGCTGTGAAAAAAAAAAATCCACATTCTCCCACTAGTAATCTTGAAAATCTGTGCCATTTTGTGAAAGAATAATTCACATTTTAAGATGTTACCAGTACAGTTTTACTCGGTGATCCTCATTATATGATAAATAGGCGCCCTTTCAATACATTGCACTACAACTCCCATCATCCCTTGATGATGGTTGTTGTATTTAAAGCATCTAGATAATACTAGATTGAGAAACCTTGACATATTGGCATATTCCCCCTACTGAGCTATAAGACATGCATCAGCCTCTCTAGCCTTATGCCTGGAGTTCAGTTTCCATAAGTCCTAGCCAGCATTAGTCATGATAGCGGAGAATTATAGGAAATTGGCACAGATGTATTCCAGTTGAAAGCAAACTTTGCAGCAGTAGTTAAATGAAGGAGAAAAGTCACAGCTGTGTAATCATGATGCATTCTTGGTTCACCATAACAATTTAATAAATAAAATTAAATAAATAAATAATGTGGAAGCTTTGTAATATTTCTTTATTATTTCTGACAAAAAATTATTTTAGTTCAGTTTTGCAATATATCAGGTAGTGATATATGGCTAAATACTGAATATGTTATTTTTAATTTAGTTTTGAATCTCTAGCTTTGTACGTCTGGAAAGATTTCAGAATATATGCGGTAGAAGGAAATTTATCTACCTTTCCTGTAATAATTCCCTGAAATCAAGTCTTGCCAGTACATTTCTAAAGAAGTATCTTTGTTATGTTTTTTAGAACCAATATAAATTGCCAATTAGAAATCTTCTTGGGGGGGGGAGGGGTTGCTATCATATTTCTTTCCTTGCTTGGCAATTGCCCGTATCTGGAAGACATCGTCTTCTTGACACATGACATAAAATATAGTTGAGTGAGCCTTTTAGGAACCCAAAGATTTTTGGGTAAGCCTGACCCTGATTCCTTTGCAGAATCAGGAGTTGGGGGGCAGTATCTAGACAATGTTCCCTTCTCTATTTTTCCCATATTTTTCTTTTAATCATAATGATAACAATATACTCAATCTAAACATCTGCCTGACTGTGTGACCAATCATAATTATAGACATAAAGACCTGCAAATAGAACGGCTATGGCAAAAGCAAGGATAGATAGTCCCAGTAGTAATAGGCACCTTGGGTACAATTCCAAAATAACTGGACACCACTTGAACACCATTGGCACTGACAAATTCACCATCAGTCAATTGCAAAAGGCGGCTTTACTTGGAACAGTTTACATCCTGTGACAATACCTGTAATGCCATCAAACATCCACTTCTGCCTAGCTCAGGTTCTTAGAAAGGACTCGATAGTTACACAAAAATGCCAAATCCAGTCTGAACATCTGGCTGACTGTGCGACAAACCAATAACAATAATAATAAACAATGGAGGAGAATCATCTGTCAGAGGGAAAGTTGAGATACACGCCAGCATTTTTGGATCGGTTGAAATCTTGGTACCACTGTCTATTGAAAAACAATCTGGAGTGCGACCCATTTGCCAACTGTCTGAAACAGAGGAGGGGACTCAGTAGCTGGAAATAATAAAAAAAAAGAGCAATAATATCTTGAGTGCCAGAATAAATTTTCTTTCCAAATCATGTGTTTTTTTCTATTTTTTGGTATTTCATTGCATTATGATATTTAGGAAAAAAAATGTAGGGTCACAATTTTTCCCCTGTTTGCTCCTGTTTCATAGGGAAGGTCTGTTTCTTTAACAACTTTTTACCGAACAGCAAGAAACGTTATGAGTATGTGCTTCAGCAAAGACCCCACAGCAGCAGAAATAGAGGTGAGAAATGTCCTAGTATTAAAACTCATCTTATTCTGGACTCAGATGCTTTTCTCCCTACATATGAAAACTCCTAAGCATCTAACAAGTAATGGCAATGATGCTTTGACATGGAAACATATATTAACTGGATGTAGACAGGTAAATGGTACAATCTTGGTCATCATGAAAACTGCCTGTTGTGTAATTTTAAAAGCAGAGTTGCTTTAAAGACAAGTAAAAATCTTGCTAAGTTTAAGAAAAAAGGAGAAGCAGTAAATAGGAAAGAAAGAGGCAGATATTTATTTATGTATTGTTTTTAAAATAGTAACAGAAAAAGAAAGGGAACAAAATATAAAGCTAATTGATAGGTACAGTACATTTCTCAAAAAAAGCAACACCTAAAAAGTGCTTTAAAAAATACAACAGAAAAAAAACAAGAGTATAATATATCATAACAGTTAAGTTACAATTCTATATATACTTATCTAATATAAATATTATTCAAGTGCATATATGTGTATTATGCTTATATAGCTATCATTCTTCTGTATTTTGTATACACTAATTATTTTTTTTCATGCCAGTGTACTATCAAGTTCGGGATCCAATATTTCATTAAAATCTCCTTCTTATTACCACTTTATTATAAATTCACTCATTTAACTGTCAAAAGCATTCATGAAATATAATAGGAGAATTTTAATTAGGTCCATCAGTATTCATAGCTATTGCAATCTCTGCTACTCTATCACATAAAATTTAGCATCCATGTGAAAGACACCAGATCCTAAAGATAAATTCTAAGCAATTTCCTTATGCTGGTAGCTGTACCAGGGGAATTTAGCTCATTGTATGGTGAATGATAATTGACCTTACATTAAAAAAATATGTATGTTCAGAAAAGGTCTCAGTTGATTCAATGTCTTATCAGTTCTAGGTAGTCATGGTTCCTTTTCCTCTTATTATATGTTTTCCACAATTTTGCTGGAATTAAACTCCAAAATTTTTAATTTTCTAAATTTGCTGAAAGACCCCAGGCTATGGCAGAGTGTTCTGTATTCTTCTGCTTGTAATATTAAATGAATGCATACTTTCTAAATGCCTTAAAAACATTTCTTCGCCAACAAAAACATTTTATCTGTTAAAAGACTGAGATCAGAGAGATAATAAGAATTTTTGTTAGCAAATCTGCAGCATGTTCATTTGCTTAAGTTCCTTTTTCTAAGAAAAAAGGTAAAGAATGTGTTTGAGATACTGTACTTGGCATAATTTTAAACATCTGTTACAACTGGGTAGCTTTTTTTCCCTTATAGCAAGAATACTGGAGATTAGTAGAACAGAAGGACTGCCATGTAGCAGTGCACTGTGGGAAAGTGGACACCAATACCCATGGCAGTGGCTTCCCTGTGGGTAAAGCAGAACCTTTTTCAAGGTAATACATGGCAACATTATCTAGAATTTTTAAAATCTTTTTTTAATCTTTTTTCATCTTCTCTGGCTAGTACAACAATGGGAATTAACTGTTTTCTTGAGATACTACTCTGTTTGATCCATGTGATGTGGTGGGCATTGATAACTATAAAGTTCCAAGTGAGAAGCATATAATTTTAGCTCAGATTCTTTTGTGAGAGCCATAAAATTGCATGCTCCTCTATTATTTTGACTTAAGATCAAGAGACTTAAAAGGCAACATATATTTCAAGTCAATGTACTGCCAAGAATGCATGCTTTCAGTCCTTTTGAGAGGTGAAGGGGTGGACACTTGGTTGGTGGATTGCATAGAGTAGCTGAATCCAGTATATGTTAGCTTTCCTATGTTGTGTTCTGAATTCATTTAATCCCTTTGCTAGGTTTACTTTATTTGTTCCCCAAACATGATATTTCAGAGGTACTTAAATTTGAATTATAACCTATTTTGGATGAAAATATATAGTTAGCCAGTAATTTCTGCCATCTTTCTTTCAAGAGAGCCATAAAAGCATTATAGTAGCCTCCCTTTACATCTAATTGAATTAAAACTGCAGTTCTCAGAATTCCCAACCAGCATCTAGTCTGTCATCAGAGAGTAATTCTAGTCACCAATGAATACTTATATATTTTGTTTATTTGTTTTTCTACATTGGGAACAGAACAGCTATTGAAATGAAGAGGCAGTAGCCCTGATGCTTTTAATTATTGACATCTATAAAAATACATGTTTCAGAAAGTTGATCAATTTCTTGTTAGTCATTTTAGTTCTTCAGAAAAAATTAGCCAGACTACTGAAAATGAATGTAAGATTTTTGATCAATTATACAAAAACTGTTTACTTAGATTTTTCTGACTGAAAGAAAGAGGACTGTTTTTTTTCCTCCAGATTCACTATCAGAAACTGAATATTTGAGATTGACTTTAACATACTTTACAGAGGGCTATGTCAGCTTTTTTTTCAGTTGGCCTTTAATATTTGCTTACAGTTATCTGTATTACTTAATTTGCACAGGCATGGGTGGAACCTAACAGTCCTTCCTAATAACACAGGATCCATCCTGCGACATCTTGGTGCTGTGCCTGGTAAGGGGATGTACTTTCTCCATACTTGTAATTGTGGTGCTCAGAAAGATTTTTAAATAAATCACATTTTCCCCATTTCCCTGTAACCAGGCATCTATAAATGTTATTTAAAAATAAATTAATGTTCAGTTAACCTTTTGTCATGGCAGTATTTAAACTATGTGTAATTCTGCTATCCACTGACCCTTCAGTCTGTTCAACACAGATGGGCAGACTTCTTTTCATGTGAGGCTGCTAAGATTTGTGTTGTCTGTTATAATAATCACGCCACGGTTTAATTCAGATCTGTGTATTATAAAAAGAAGCAGACTGAGATGGAGGCTTAATATATAGTGCAGATCATGTCCTTGTTGGCTTCTTCAAATCTGTTGTAGCCTGTTCATTAATATTCAGTACATTTGTGGTAGCATCTAACGTCTGTATGCTGATTGATAGGCATAGGTAGGTTCATTATTTGCAGTCCCAAAGGGTTTATGCTGTGCCAATTAATGTGCGGATTTTTGTTGTTACTGTGTTTTCTCCATGATAACATTTGTGATTTCTACTTTACAAAGGCTGCTTGAGACACTTGTCAAAGTTGATAGTGGTATGATATTGTGATTATTTTTATTTTTTGTTATCATACCTAATAAAAAAAACTTTGTGATTTTCTCATGCAGTTTAATAGTCCGATTGTATTTATCTGTAGAGATAATTATCAAATGAGTATAAATACCTATTGCACATCTTCAGCTTCCTCAGAGGAAGGGAATATTATTTTTTCCAGACAATGTTTCATGAACACTGCTTGTGTTTGGTAGAGATATTGTTTAGCTCTTAATATATAGTATATAGGTAGTCCTGAGTTTACAACTATTCGTTTAGCAATCATTTGAAGTTACAACAGCACTGAAAAGTGACTTATCCTCGTGGTCACATGATCAAAATTCAGACACTTGGCAACTGGCATGTATTTATGACAATTGTAGTGTGCCAGGGTCACGTGATCACCATTTGTAACCTTCCCAGTTGGCTTCTGGCAAGCAAAATCAATGATGGTAGCTAGATTCAATTAACAACCCTGTTACTAACTTAACAACTTAGCTAGCAATGGAAACTTGGGGCACAATTGTACTATATCAAGGGCTATCTGTATTGGCAAAAGTTAAATTCATATTTGCATATAAAGCTATATGAGCTGATTTGTTAAGATACAGTTTGCATGTTAACATCAGAACCCAGGGATCAAAAGAGATTTGACCAATCAGACTAAGATCATTTTCATTTTTTGTAAGATCTGTCATTTTTTTTTTCCATTCTTGGTAAGATCTAAATTTTCAGGGGACATCAAATGTCACATACAGCTTCCAATATAATTTTAACCATTCATAATTTAATAGGTTTTTTTTTTAAAAAAATGAGAAGATTGCCATTAATCATGTTTTCTTTTGATCTAATTTAGGAGTGACAATTCCTTGGCTAAACATTGGCATGGTCTTTTCTACCTCATGCTGGTCTCGAGACCAAAATCACCTTCCATATATTGACTACTTACACACTGGTGCTGATTGCATTTGGTAAGTAACTCTTAAGTTTGTTTCTTTGCTCTACTGCCCTTGCTTTAGTTGGGGATCTGTAGACATTTTTATTCCAAAATCAAAAAACTATACCATTAATCATTCTGTTTAGAATTTCAAGACAGGATCCAATAATATTAAAAGTGAACACTGCAAAATGTCCTACTATCCTAACAAAGATAAGTAAAATTTTAGGATGAACAAAATGTTTAACTGGCACTCCAGATTATTGTTATTATTTTCTTGGGTGAAAAAGACATTTTATAGAGTTGCATTAGAATTCATCTTTTAAGTTTTTTCAAACTTAACTACTGTAATGTATTTTAAAATATCCAAGTAAAAGTCAGACTGGCATTTGTTGTGGCACAATAAAATTTTACTACCTAATACAGCAGGGAAGTGAGGTTAATATAGTCTTACTATTGAAATTTAGTCAGTGCCAAATGGTTCAGATAGTTTGAAATTAAGCTCACAAAGGTATTGCGAAATTGAGAATCTTATTCAATCGGTCTTTCTCTGGCTTAATGGGTCTAACAATCCCACAGTGTCAGGATTGTTAGACCCATATTCAAGCAAGAAATAATCCATTCTGATTTCCATTAATGTTTTTTTTACCTCTTTAAAATATGCTTCATAATGTTTTTTTTAAAAAAAAAAAAAACATTCCCTGGCTTGTTATATAGGAAAAAAAGCCTTCCCTAAAGTCAGGAAAGCAGGTAATTTTTTTAAGAATAGGCTGTTTCACACATTCAACTTTTCAGTACGTTTTACTAACCTAATGTACAAGGTTTGGTACAGCCTAAATGTACAAGATATAATTTACTGCTATATAATCATTGGGAGTGTGAAAGATGATGGCTTTCTTGAATAATTAATAACCAGTATGAAATTTAAATCCAGAATAACATTTCAGAAGGAAATCTGTCACTATTTAATTTAACGTGGATTTTTTTTTATTTATTTTTTGATAATTCCATATATGAACTTGTGCCACATCTAAAATGTGGATTTGTACTAATATAAATTCTTAATATTAATTTCAATTATTTAATCAGTTATAGTTTTTTCATTGTTCAAGAGAAATTACTGTCATTCTTTGTCTTATACCAGTGATGGCAAATCTTTTAGAGACTGAGTGCCCCAAAACCACCCCTGCTCTGTCCCCACCTCGCCCACCTGCAGGGCCACTCACTGCCTCCATGGCCTGCCACAGATTGCCCAGCTGGCCCAGCAGCGCCATGGTGGCCACAACCTCCGCCCATGCCACACAGCATCAACTGTGGAGTCTTGTCCCCACTGCCCGGCTGCCATGTCATTGGCTATGCTGCTCTATGCAGGCCATGCTTGGGGGTGACTCTTCTCCAGGGGGCTGCTGATGAGGGGGCCGTGGGGAGGCGGGGCTGGGGCAATGGCACGCGTGCCCACAGAGAGGGCTCTGAGTGCCGCTTCTGGCACGCATGCCATAGGTTCGCCATTACTGATTTATACTATTGCTATGAATACTTGTATATTATTTGGATTTTCATAGTGAGCTCTAGGTTTTAAAAAAATGACATATTTGGATATGCATAATTAACTAATAAACTTAGTATTGAAAATACTTACCTAAAAAAAATCTTTGCATACAAAGGCATGCTGACTTCAGATTCATAAGGGGTGGTTTTAAGCAAGTCCCTTCCCTTCCTTTCCATGTGCTGTTCAGATGATAAAACTTTTTTATTTTCTGTCTTAGGCAACATATTACGCGGTATTAGTGTCGTGATATAGTGTTAATAAATACTGTAATTGTGAAATGTAATCTTATTTTAAAGTATTCAGACTCTTTCTAAATATAAAATTCCTGATCCCCCCTCCCCCAGCTTACGGCATCTTTTCCTATTTAGTTTTTAAACTCTTAGGTTGACATTCAGTTTTGGAAATACAATTTGGGACACTGCCTTTTGATGCATAGTATCTTGTTTGGTCTAGAATTCATATCCTTTTTTGTGATTTCCTCTCTGTGTCAAATGTGAACAGGTATTGCATTCCTGCTGCGGAGGAGAAAAAACTTGACAAAGTGGTACATACCCTATTGCAAGCCAATGGCACTCCAGGACTGGAAATGCTTGAAAGTAATGTCATGGTGAGTTACTTTCTGATTTCTGTCTAGAGGAATCCAGTTCAATTTTGTTTTATAACTTTATGGATAGCAGTGAACTCTGTTGTACAGTTATTTGAAGCAAGGGACTAAATACTGAAAAACCTTACTGCCATGGGTATATGTAAAACTCAACCATTGAATTAAATCTCAATATGCCACATGATATGGAGCTGTGTAGACCAGGTGCTAAGCCTAACAACCTATATTGAAGTAGGATTCCAACAAGGCCTTGAAACTAGGGCATTGTTCATAGATTTAACTCTGGCATACGGCACATTTTGGAAGGATGGGTTGTTATAAAAACTGTGCCCTATTATCCCCTGCAAAATTCAGTGTCAACTAATTAATACCTTACCGAGTGATAAGTTCTTTTAGTTAATAATGAGGGAACAACATAAGTAAGGTAAGAGGATTAAACAATGGCCATCGATAAGACTTCCTGTCATCTCCAACAGCCTTCTATACAGATGAGGCATTCCCCTAAAGAATGCACCTCAGTCTCCTTCTTCATGTCAGTTCCATCTCCCACTCCAGTAAGATGTCCTCCTGAGTGGATAGCTGCCACATTACATCCCACCCCTGTTGCCACTCTGACTCAAAATGGAGCGAACATGTCAGCTGCAAGGACCCCATCTCACTCGCTTCTGATAATATGAAGCACAATAGCCAATCTCCCCAAGACAACAAGATAATTTCCAGGCTGGCAACCTATTCACATTTCACCTTCAGATCCTACCACTTCTCTCATCTCTTCCATCATTAGCACCCTCCATTTTGACAACCACTCCATAGCCACCTTAACTGGATACTATTGTAAGCCCAGATCTGCCATCTCTCAGACTCACTTCTAGCATATCACGCAGTCAATACCACATCCCCAAACAACCCATATATCCAATTCCCCCCCCCCCAAAAAAAGCTTATATCCCCTCCCCCCTCCCCAATAATCTTGATAAATAGATAAAAAAGGCTGACAGGTATTTTGATTTCCATTTAAAAGTAACCTCCAAGGATTTTTTCTTAGGGACTTTGAAACTCCTACCTAAAGTAGCTTTCTTGATGCATCCAAATATGGTGTATCAATCAATCTAACCTACTTCTAAGGTGTTTCTGTATTGAGAGTACAAGTAGTCCTTGTTTAGCAAATGTGTCATTTAGTGACCGTTCGCAATTATTATAGTGATGAAGTAATTTTGTGACCAATCCTTGCATTTACATTCTTCACGGGTCTGTAAAGCAACGGGCAGCTGAAATCAGATCATCGGGACAGTTGTTGTTTCACTTAGTGACTACTTCATTGAATGATCAATGTCCCAGTCTCAGTTGTGGTTGCTAAACAGGGAATACCTGTGTTTGTTTTCAGGATTATAGCATCTGTACAAGGAATAAGCACTGGAAGTTCCAGTTTGTATTGCAACATTTAAAGTTTATGTGGTATCGGTATTGTCATGTAACAGGGATGGGATTATGGGGGTTGAAATACACTGTAACCTGAAGACTTCTAAGGTAGATCCAAGTTTCTTTGCATTATACAGGCAGTGCTGAATGACAGGGAAATAAGATTTTAAAAGGGTTTCTTTTCTTCTCTCTACTTAGATCTCCCCCGAGGTATTGTGCAAAGAGGGGATCAAGGTGCACCGTACTGTACAACACAGCGGGCAGTTCGTTGTCTGCTTTCCAGGATCTTTCGTGTCAAAAGTATGCTGCGGTTACAATGTCTCTGAAACTGTGCACTTTGCTACCACCCAGTGGACAAGCATGGGTTTTAAAACTGCCAAGGTAGAAAAGTGTATATATGTGCTGAACTTAAAAAAAAAACAAAAAAACAGAATGCCTTTTGTAAAAGAAAACAAAACACTTCACAGACACATTGTCATTATTACAAAGACCTGTTTTGCTTATAAATTTCTTAGACAATGTCTAACGTTCAAAATGAAATCCCAGATTTGGTTAGCTATTAAACATTCAAGTCTGATTTGGAGATGTCATACGAATGATTGCATGTGGTCCAGTCTAGGCTGTGGTCTTTCTGTTGGAATGTATTTCATTGTATCATAAGGGAGAGCTAACAGTGGAATGTTTGTGGGTAGGAAATGAAGAGGCGACATATACCCAAGCCATTTTCAATGGAAAAGCTGCTGTATCAGATTGCGACAGCTGAGGCCAAGAAAGAAAATGGGTCTGCTCTGAGTACAATATCGGCTCTTCTGAGAGAGCTCAGGTAACCCCGCTTTCCTATCTGCTTTTATCTTGAAAGAAGCTCTAATGACAGTTACAGAGGATGCTGTGAGATAGCCAGGACCAATGAGCCCAGCCACAGATGGAGAAGACCTTCAACACTTATTGTGCTGCTAAACCATTGAAGACCAAAATGAAGGATTCGGTCTCCTGTCAAGCATTCACTTTTTTTTTAAATAAAGGAACTCAGTATTTGCATCCATAGCTTAAAACTTTCTTCTCCGAACATTTGCATAGGTTTTTTTGTAATTATGGATAAGCAAGGAAAGCCAGTCTTGCAGTCATGACTGTGGCATGAGCAGAATTCCACAGAATTTCCCCATTTTCAACACGGAAAGAGTATTGAATATTTTTCCAATCCCTCTCTAGGACATTTTTGAAAGGAGGGGGAAGGTGTTGTCTTTCTAATATAATGCTGTGTTCTCTTTGTTCTTTATCATGTAGCTTCGTTACCCACAATTCAAGTGTGATCGATAGCACATCGCATAGATCAAGGATCCATAGAAAAACTGATGACTGGAATCTACAAATTGTATTTAATAAACTAATTTGTTAATTTGCATAGTCTGAATCAAGTCTTCTTCACTGCATATTTGCACTCAGGGCAGAAGACTTGAGAGATTCATTGAGGATCTCCACATGGAGTTTCTCCTTCTTGAGAATGTTACATCCATCTTACCTCCATATGTGCATTTTCTTAAGGGCATTTTATAAATGTGAAAAGGACTGACATTTGTTTTCCCTTTGGGGTCCATCTAAATCAGTGGTTCTTAACCTTTTTGAACGAATCGCCCCCTTGAGCCAATGAGGAAGTTGTCATCGCCCCCCCTCCCCCAACATTACCTCTCAATCACAACATAGGAAATAATTATTCAATTTATCCAAACACTTTTTTTGTTTTCTTTAAAATTGTCATCAGGACATATCGATGCAAATAATTTATTTCCAATCTTTTTCCCATATCTCAACTGTGTGAAAAATTTTGATGCCACCCGTCACTTTATTCCCAAACTTCGTGATGCATGTATTTCATTATTGTCTTATTTATTCAAGACACTTAAATGTAATGATCACTGAAAACAAAATTAAATTGCAAGAAAGTGAAATGCCCGAAAAGAAAAACGGTAACATTTAATGATTGAATTACAAGTGAAATTTAGACGCAAAAAGAAATATAAAAAGGGCATAAGAACAAATCGCAATGCAGGAACTAAGAATTTCAAGACGAAAACTCTGAAACTAAATTAAGATTCGAGGAAATTATATATAGTCATGCACACTGTGAAAAGGATTAAAAAGACACAAAGAAAATATAATATCGAACTGGAGTGCATGCTAAAAAAGTACAATACAAAGAGACACAAAATGTTTTACAGAGCCACTCAGCATGCGATGTTTCGAAAGAAGCGCTCCCCCCTCCATCACTGCCCATTCTGGCCAATGGCGCACCACTGTATGGGTAGAGGCTGCTGCGCAACATGCATGAAGGTAACCAATGCATATTCACATATGTACAGCGTTCTGTACTGAAGCTAGCTGGAGGAACATTTGAAAACACAATTCAATCCACTAATAGCGAGCGATCTGATGTTTTTGTACGACAGACACTGTACAAAAAACTCTCAAAAGTGTCCCCAAAACCTCTCGTTCCATCGCCCCCATATCGCCCCCTTTTCATTCCTTCACCCCGTGCCGCCCCTTTTTGTTCCATCGCCCCCCTGAAAAATGAAATCACCCCCTGGGGGGCAATATCACCCAGGTTAAGAACCACTGATCTAAATGGTCCTCAGGCTTGTTCAAATTGAATTTCTTTTCCTATGAGGACAGCAAGAATTTTCCTTATAACATTGTTAACCATTAGAGTACTGTTTTAAGTTGCAATCCAAAGCATCTTCAGTGTGTCAGGTCAAGGATAGTCTTCTTTTGAAGTCTAATTTGTGCTGCTTTGAGTAACTTGGTGTTGTTCTCATCCACTCATTACTTTTGTACGTAATTTTCCATTTGTTCCTCCTCTACGGTCAGCATGTATCTGTGCATTCATAAATCAGATTTTTAAAGCCACAAGGACTCTAGGCAATATATTCAGATTTTTCTTTTTTACTAAACATCAAGCCTTCATCATTCTTGGATTCCTAGGAAGTGTCTTGAGGGACATTTCTTTTAGCAATCCAGGCTAGCAGAGCAGTCTAGTTGAAGCAGGAGTGTCATAGAGATTTGAACAAGAACTCAACTTCTGAAGTTTTCAGTCCATTAGAATTCCTGCTTGGTCTGCAATGGTCACTAACACAATCTTAGGTGGGATTGAGCAGCAGAAGGAGTTTGGCACTGCTCCCTGGGAGTGTATGCAGTGTTGCGTTATCCACTGACAATTATTAAAGGCTCAGCTGAGTGTAAAAATGAGGCCTTCCAGATTTAATTTTGAGTTCTCTTTGAGACTCTGCTGTTTTCTAATTATTTTTAATTTTCACAGGGACACAGAATTGAGGCAGCGGCGGCAGCTATACGAGACCGGTCTCCATTCTTCAGCTCGCTATGGGAGCCATGACAACAGCAGCACGGGAGTGGATGGGAAGAAAAAGCCTCGAAAGTGGCAGTTAGAGACATCCGAAAGAAGGTGTCAGATATGCCAGCATCTCTGTTACTTATCCATGGTAAGAGAAATTTCTCAAGCCCTGAATTCCTGATTCTCGCCATCTATCCAACTGTCCAGCTATCTGTCTACCCATCTGTCTTTCCCTCCCTCCCTCCCTCCCTCCCTCCCTCCCTTCCTTCTTTTTTGATACAGCCGCTCACCCCAATAGATTCTCTGCAGTTTGCAAAGTTTAATGGATACTTATAAACACAGACAAAACAAAACAGCCTAGACTAAAAAAAGCCGTAATAAAACCCAATATAACAATTCCCACTCACCCCCAGCCTATCATTAATCCCAAGGAGGGCAGGGGCTACAACAGGAATGTGACAGAATTATTGGTCTTTTAATATATCAATTGTTTCCTAACTACAGAGTAATTTCTAAAATAATCCACATACTTCAGCAAAGTGCAAGACATATATTTCAACAGAGTCTTCTGGAAAGCGCTGATGAACGGGATGCTCAGAATTGATCTGCCACCATCCTAGGCTAGTCAGGAGTACAAAATGAAATTTTGCTCCATAGGGGATATTTGTTCATATTTGAATATTTACTCTGAAACAGGATAGCTAACTACTTCATAACACACTGAATTTAGCTTTACTGAAATTATACATTGTTTTCAAAAAAATTAATACTATCGCACTAGCTAAGATAAGTTACATTAAGGCTGCAGCTGAAATGCAGACATTCAATATGACCTGTAGCTTATCAATATTCTCAACCTATGTTCGTAAAAATTGCAGGTTGTACAGGAAAATGAAAATGTTGTCTTCTGCCTCGAATGCGCCCTGCGACATGTAGAAAAACAGAAGTCTTGTCGTGGATTGAAACTAATGTATCGTTATGATGAGGTCTGTATAATACTGTTTGTGGTCTTGCGGGTTATTTTTAAGGCTGTATAATTTACAAATTTGCTATGTTGCCTGTATGATCTGTAGAGTTGCTGCTCTTGCTTTTTAATATTATGGATAATTTATTGTTGCAGTAGGTTTTCTCGATAAATTTGCATTGTTGCCTTTTACCCTCCTCACTTGTTTTATTAAGAATTATAAAATGAAAAATTAGTTTTGAACAGCTCTACACTATAAGCAGTGTTTACCGTAGCAAAAAATACAATTCCTTAGCAATTCCTTGGCTTCAGATCTCTTACTTACTTACATAGTGTGTATATTCTTCCTTTTGCAATTGTCTTCAAAGCTTATCAAGTGAAGCTGTGGTTTTGCAGTTGACATACTGTAACTTCAATAAGTACCATGTGCAGTACAGATAATACCAGAATCTTTGTACTTTAAACCTGTCTATAACAAATCATTTAAAAACAGCAGTAAACATATCTATCAGAGTATTGTCTTTTTTATGTCTAAGAGGCATTTAACTGACTCTTCCTCACTTCCTCCTCCACTTCTTAATTAGCTCCAGATAAAGGCAACAGAGATGGTCATTTTGCTTGCTGTTTGATGGAGTTATGTTCTCTTCATGTGTCTATAGTTTGGAGGAATTAAAAAAAAAAAGCAAACCAATTTTGGGACTTCAGACTAATTGAAACAATGGGGAATAAAAAACCCCAATGTTTATTTAGGATGAATGTCAATATATTATATGAATTTCTGTACCCAGGTTGGTTTGTTCATTGAGGATTAATCTATTTTGCACCCTGTCAACCAAAGAGTTCTTGCCCAAATCCAAAGAAACAGGCAGAAAACAATCCCTCCAAATAAAATGGATGTCAATCTTATATTTGAACCCAAAACTATTAACACCAAAAGGACATTTTTCATTGTTCTTGGGTGGCAAAAATATAGATTGCCAGAAAGTCCAGTGTTGTTCGCTATGAAGCAGAAAAACTCTCTAAAGTCACAGTTTACATATTTTTATACATATTTTATTTAATCTTGGTCTCCAAATTTCAGTTAGTATATAATGATAGGCTATCAGTAGCAATCAATCAAATATACTAGCTTGTAATGAGCGCTTAATATGATTTTAATATTATACAATAGCATTTAAATTTATATGTTCTCACTTCCATTTAAAAATATTACAGGTAGTTCTCGACTTACAACAGTTCATTTGGTGACCGTTCAAAGTTAAAATGGCATTAAAAAAGTGACTTATGATTACTTTTCACACTTATGACCATTGCAGCAGCCCCCTGGTCACATGATCAAAACTCAGACGTTTGGCAACTGATTCATATTTATGACAGTTGCAGTGTCCTTGGTCATTTGATTATCTTTTGTGACCTTCTGACAAGCAAAGTCAATGGGGAAGCCAGATTCACTTAACAACTGTGTTTCTAACTTAACAACTGCATTGATTCACTTGTGCCAAGAAAGGTCATAAAATGGGACAAAACTGACTTAACAAATGTCTCACTTAGCAACAGAAATTTTTGGACTCAATTGTGGTCGTAAGTTGAGGATTACCTGTATTGATTTAACATGTGTTATGACTCCTAAACTGGGTGATCATTATTGTGATTTACTAAAATCAATTCACTATTAACAGTTCAGGTCTAGACGTATTTGCAAAATCAGACATAAAACTTTGTCTCTCTTTTCATCAGTAATGAAGGAGTGAGAAGGAGCACATCAGTCCAAGGCTCATTCATATAATGCTGAATAGTAGTTGATTTCATTTGGGTTTAAGTGACTATCTCTTCATTCATGCTGACGATGTAGTCCAGACGTGTCCTACCTTGGCAACTTTCTGACCTGTGTGCTTCAACTCTCAGAATTCCCCAGCCAGCCTAGCTTCAGAATTGTGGGAGTTCAAGTCCACAAGTCTTAAAGTTGCCAAGGTTGGACACCTCTGAACTAGTCTTCCAGAACACCCTGCAGATGAGCTGAATTAATGGGAGTCTGAGTCCTTTACCACTTAACAAAACAAGCCAATTCTAAGTTCTTCCTCATCACGTTGTTTCCAAAAGAATTAGTAAATGGATCACCCATAGCTGGGAAGGTGGAAGAACAGCCTGAATGCACAGACATCACTCAAATAGCCAGTTAAAAATCTGCTGTCTTTGTGGAGGTAGGATAGGGCCCCACTTTGCCAAATGAGGCATAAGGGCTTGATGTCGTGTCTGGCTAGTAACATTCAATGACAATTATTAGATAGGATGACACTGCTGCTCTGCAAATGTCCTGGAAAGGTGCACGTGGTGGGGGTACTTCATACTTTAATGGAGGGCGTCCTGACTGCCTGAGAGTCAGCAAGCCTACCAGATGATAAGAAGAGCAGATAGTATTTATATCCCTCTAGACAAATACTAGGAAAAGATGAAAAAATAATCCTTGCTCTTTTGAATAGAAGAATAGTCAGGGGGACTTATGAAAAGCTTGCTGTTATCTATGTAAAGCACTAATCTTTGGTACCGTAGATTCTGAAACAGACCTTGCCTAAATCTAAGCAATCCATCAAGTTGGTAGAGGGGAAACAGACTTAATAATATCTTGCAAGAGCCTGAGGTGACTTTCAAGACCAAAAGAGAGTCTGGGAAAAAATCCAATGCTTCTCTGTCAAGTGAAGTAGGAAGAATCATTCCATAGGGCACAGATGTTGTTTCCCATAGGTTTAAATCTCACCATACATTTGAAGAACTTGGAGAAGAATTATATTAAAATCATCAAGAGGCTTGGTCTGAGGAGACTGTCTGAGGGGCCATTAGAAATAATGATAAATGGGCCTAGCATAAGTAGTTGATCATTTGGTTCAAGAGCACTGAATAGCCATAAGTAAGAAAACAGAAAAAAACAACATAGTTGCTAAATATATACTTTAAGGAGATGTTTAAGATAAAAGACCCTACATGGTTGTTTTGCTCAGTATTTACTTTTCTTATTATTGAACAAGCCTTCTCCTCAAAGAGGAAATTTTAGTTAGATCCAAAGCGCTAAGGCAGGTATATTGTCAGAGTATTGTAGCCTCAACTAAGCACCATCAACAACGTGGCAAAAGGTATGGATCAGTTACAAGTGATGTATCTCTAACTGGAAAATCTGGGCTAGGATCTAAAGTATTTCCCCTTAGACTACTTTTTCCCATAGAGATATTGGAAACACGTCTAACAGTACAAGATGCAGAATTCCAGGGCACATGGAAAACCAGGAAGCTTGAGGTGTTTAAGCTAAAAATTACAGCTGTCATCTTACACAAGACAGTGTTTCTGTTCTGTGAGAGGAATGAGGATTGTGCCACAATATCGGGTCACTAATAAGAGGAGGTTGTTTAATCATTGGCATTTTACAAAATTGCAAGTCCTTACATCCTTAGAGGGAAAACTGGGTAATTCTGATTTCATTTCATGGCTCTAGCATTCACTTCCCCAAACACAACTAAATGATAGTCAGGATTGGTGGCTGGAGTTCAAGAGTGGCAGATGCAAATCTAGTATATGAAGTTTCTTCTTTGAGAGCTTATGATCCTCTTAACTGGGCCTTTACTTGCAATTCTCGGACACTGAAAGTTAAAGCTGAAATTGCATCTTTGTATCTGGAAAGCTTAAGATCCGAGATTGGTACCAATTTCAATTTTGACTTCCCTGGCATTCATCGGTGCTTGAGGCCTAACTGCTGTTAAGCTTATACAAGCATCAACTGGACCAGAGAGGAACTTTCTGGACTTTATGATCTCTGCTGAAAGAACCTGTTCCCAAATGAAGGCAAAACGATCTGTTCTAGCATCCCTGCAATATCAAGTTTTTGCAATGGATATACAACTCCAGTGGATGTCTCTTGCCACAGCAAAATAAGCCCTTAGCGTGTCCATTAGTAGAGAGCTCTGTACACATAATGGAGCATTTTTAGAAAATTAAGGCCATAGGCCTCACTAAAACTAAAAATGATGGTTCTCAAAGGAGAAATTTTAATGATAAGGAAGCAATTTGTAGAGAGGGTTTTCAGTTGTTTCTATGTTTTTTACAATATAAAGACTTAAAATGAAAGACATAAATGCACTCAGCAGTCCTCAAGTGCACTCAGAGAGGACAGCATGGCTAGAAAAGAGGAACTGAACATTGGCAAGCTAACATTTTAAATGGGACGGGTGGGCTGCCACAGAGTCAACCCAGGTAGAAAATGTTCAATTACAAACTTCCATGTGATAGACAAGAGACTAGCAGAAGTAATAATCACTTCACATTACAGCCAGTCAGTTAAGCTGCTGTATTTTGGCTTCAGTTTATCATATTATTGCCATGTTATTTGGAATAGGAAGTTGGTTGTTTAAAAAAAGAAAACACATTTTTTCTTCTTTCAACTAGGAACAAATCATCAGCTTAGTCAATCAAATTTGTGGAAAAGTATCTGGCAAGAACGGCACCATTGAGATCTGTATCAGCAAGCCTACACCAAAAAGAGGGCCTCGCAAGAGAGCAACCCTTGACGTGCCATCATCAAGACTTTCATCCTCCAGTTCATCCAAAAGTGCTTCAAGTTAATCATGAAGATGCCAACTCTCTCTCTCTCTCATTTTGGTCAATTTTATATATATTTTTTGTAATTATATCATAGTTTGGAGTATTGCTGTAGATTACAAGCTGTCTTTGCACTAGCTCTACAGAAGATTTTCTTCTGGTTTTAGAGAACTAATTTTGATTTAGCATTAAACTGTTGAATTTTATTTTTATTTTCTACTTAGGATAGTTTGATACAGCAGGATTTTTTTTAACTGCTGTACACACATTTTTTTTTTGATAGCAGCAAGGGAACTGATAAAATTTGTTTTTTGTCCCACTGCCTGAAAACAAGAAAAGGCCTTTCTCCCCCCCCCCCCAATTGTGAAAAGGCTTTTAAATACCCCTTCTTTTATTTTTCTGGGTAGGTTGAATTTTGGTGCGTTTTATAATTTGTTCTCCAATCACGTCAGCAGATTTTTTTTTTCTATAGTGAAAAAGGGGGGGGGGGATAGGAGGCAAAACTTGAAAGAAATTGCTATACTTTTGGCTTGTGTTCCGGAACAGGCAAGATAAAGTTTTGTACCTTTTAAAATTGGAGAATTCACACTTTTATTTGAGAGGTTATGGCAGCTGAAGATGGACTTAGTTTTCTAATCATAGGCAAATGGGAGATTTGGAGAAAATGTTCTCTGTTACCAGCACTTCACTATGCATCTGTTCGAGGAGGAAATGAAAGAAAGAAAGAAAAAAAAAGACTGCCTGCCTTGTGGAGGCATGTGAGCGAAAAACTGTGCCTGATTTCATTAGGAAATCCATTCTGGGTTGTTGTGGTTTTTTTGGTGCTGTTGTCTACTTTATCAAAAACCCTTCAATAGCATCCTTGAAAAATGATTGAAGCCATGCTTCTTGTCATAGACGTGCAATCTTTAACATTCCATTCTCATTCCACTGCTGTTTTTAATCTTGTCACAGTCAGCATTAATTTTGTTTTGTTGTTATATGATCACATTTAGAGCCACTAGCACGTTTGCATACTTCTTTTGAATGTGAAAATGCATTTGCTCCCATCTTGTCTATTTTTTTTTCCTTTCACGTGTAACAAAAAAAAAAGTATCATAACTTTTGTACATAAGCCTGTAAATTGTTTTAAATACTTGAGCCTTTTCTTGGGAGGGTGGGAAAGGGTGGCAAAGAGACAAGATGAAGAAAAGCCTTACGTTTCACTTTCTTCGTCGGTTGGATTGGATGCTTACAGGGTTTTTCTTGTAACATTTATAAGTGCTGCTTACATCACTGAACAACAACAAAAATAATAATGGAGTAGTTGTTGCCCTTTTCTGGTTGTGTGTACAGTATGTGTGGAATAAAAAAGGGAAAGTTTTCACAAACTCTTGTTTCATAATTGAATTCAACAAAACCGTAGAGCTACCCATATTGCACTGAGCTTGCCAGTGGTGAGTGACTGTCAGGAAAGTCTTATAAAATACATATTGTTGGTTGTTGCAGAAGACTGACTTGTTTTGGAATATTTAACAATAACACAGAGTCGAGTGTTTCCAATGTGGTTGTCCAGTTTTTATGGCCTTGCTGTGTATTTTTTCCTTCTTGACAGTAAACTTCTGACTATGGCTTACAGTTTGACATTTAATTTATTAGCACTGCTCTGCTCTTTCCTTGTAAGGAAAGACTTCATGTTTATTGCCAGACTTTGTTTACTTTTCAGGTTTGTAATACAAGGTTTAATAAAAATACACTTTTTGGACACTTTGTCTTTCTTCTGAAAGCAGTGGAGATGATTTAAAGCTAGCTGACTTATTTAGAACTGTTACCATGGGCTTAGAAAAGATGTAGTTTATGGAATAGTACTTCAGGTCATTTGCAGAACTATATTACTGCAACAAAAGTGAAATAAATGTTTCAACTAATTTGCAGCCCAAACAGATGGGTTTTGAAGAACTACCTTCCCTCTCACAGTCCTTTGAGACAGAATAATTCAATAGCACATAGGCTTTGTGAGCAAGCTAAATCAATATTTTCTAAAATATTAGAAAAGATAGAAAATAAAGCTGCCAATTGTTTGCGAGTATATTTGTCCACTCATAGAACAAGATCATAGACATAATATCGAATTAGAACATCTACCCTTCAAATATTTACAGAAGGGGAAAGTAGAACCTGTGATCCTCACAATATTGCTACAACTACCAGTACGGCTAATAATACTGAAGCCCAGCAAAACCTGGAGGACCACAGGTCTCATTTCTATGTTAAAAGGATGAAAGATAACGAACACTGAAAGATATTGCTAAAGGGATGAAAGATAACAAATAGTGCTTAAAGCACCAGGCTAGAAACCAGGGAATTGTGGGTTCTAGTCAGGCCTGAAAACTGAATGGGCGACTTAGAGTCATTTTCTCTCAGCCCAACTCACCTCAAAGGATTGTTGCTGGAGGAAAATAGGAGAAAGGAGTATTAGATATCTTCATCACCTTACGTATAAAAATAATCCAAGGTGGAATAATTTTTAAAAAAAAATTAAAAAGAAAAATGAAATACCTAATACATAGATTGCCTGTCTGTATTAGTAAGGGCCACTGTGTGAGAAATGGTAGTGTGGTTTTCTTAAAAACGTGTTTTTAATCTCATGCTTAGCATGTATCTTATTTTCACATCCCACTGTGAATACCTGGGACATGGTGTTGATATATAATTTAAGTTACAGTCATATAATCTTAGTTGGGAGGCAGATTAAATCCAAAGGCCACGCACCCTTTCTTTTATAAAAGCCAAGCATTGCTTTTTGTCCATTGCTGATCCCTTCAAATGAAGCAGTTTTATGAAAGACCAAAAAAAAAAAAAAAAGCTCTTCCATTTTTGGTTCAACTCTACACACACAGAATAGCAAGTACTCTATACACATCCAGTTTTATCTTTTTTATAGAGATACAGTATACACAGGGACTTCTACCTTTCTAATTCTTTAATGTAAATATCCATTCAATCTTTTCTTGTTCCAAATACTAGCCTATTCTCCATTGCATGATAAACAGCCTTTTTTTTTATATTCAGTCTTTTGGGAACAAAAATATACTAACTTACCACAAAGGCTTAAAATTATCTCTGTGTTATAGTTCTACTGAAGATTTTAAAATAAATCTATTCACAATTTGTCCTTTTTAGTAAGCATCAACGTGGAAGGTAAATTGTTCCAAAGGCAAGAGTTTATTGCTTAATGAGTGTGCTTTCAGAATGCTTTTAATATAAAAACACATATTTTCTACGACTGCATACAGTTATCTCTCTGAAGATAAAACCTGACAAGCTCTGCCGATTATTTCTTTCCTCATTCACTCCAGTCTTAATTCCTATGGGGCACTGTAATAGGCCTCAATCTGTTAATCACTTTCATCGCTGATATCAGAGGGGCTCTTCGTTTCTGTATTCACAAGGGCAGTGTCCACTTGCACATCTTCTTCATCTGACTGGACCACAGGTGCTTCTGCTTCACAGGCATCTTGGCTAGCAGAATCTGTCCAGGGTGCTTCTGAAGAGAACTTCTTACCCAGCTCTGACGGAGTGGGAACCTGAAAACTGATTTCATTTTGATGGGTGCTAGAATCTGACCCTTCAAAAACAAAAAAAAATTAAAGATGCAAATGAATGGCTGGTTATTATATGTTGACTATCATGGGATCTAAACTATCTGTTCTTTTTGTTAGGACAATTTATAAAGCAAGATATACCATATAATTTCATACAAATGATTGTAACACTGCTGCCCTGTAACACTGATTGTTTTCGCAGGATGTGGTAAAAGATGAAAATACAGGCATGCTTTACAATCTCTGCCTTTGTAAAATAGGCCAGAATAAATCAAGACCTCAAGAGCAACTGTCACTTTGTCCTAAACCTGCATTAAAATTAATGCAGATTAAAATTAATTGCTCCAGAATGAAAAGTGGCTTGTAAAAGTGATCTGGATAGCCTTCTCTGAAAGTAGAGCATACAACTTACAACCCAAAAATGGATTTCCCACCACTCTTCTACCTTTTTTTTCTAATCTCACTGATTATCTTAGATAAATAATTAGAGTACAAATAAATGCAAGAAAATGCCGAAAAACAGACATTATAATGACAACCAGGGCTAACTTTCCTATCTCCCCCCCCCCCCAATCTACCTTTATTTAACAAAGCTGTTTATCCACAGATTTTCAGAAGACACTCTTGGAAAGGGGGAAAAAAATATTTTGCCTGCACTTTATTCATGCTTTTTCAAATAAACATGCCAGGACGTTTAGAGTAACCCTACCTTATCAGTGAGACAGGTGGCGTTTAACTTTAACAAATAATATTGAGATATTTTAGTATATAGGTAGTCCTTGAGTTATGACCACAAATTGAGCTCCAAATTTATGTTGCTAAGTGAAACATTTGTTAAGTGGGTTTGCCGCATTTTACTTTTCTTGCCACAGCTGTTAAATGAATCGTTGCATTTATTAAGTTAGTAACATGGTTGTTTTAAGTGAATCTAGACTTCCCATTCATTTTGATTGTCAGGTCACAAAAGCTGATCAACATGACCCTAGGACATGGCAGCTGTCATAAATATGAACCAGTTGCCAGGATCTGAATTTTGATCATGTGACCACGGGGATGCTGCAACGGTTGGAAGTGTGAAAAATGTTCATAGGTCGCTTTTTTCAATGCCATTGTAACTTTGAACGGTCACTAAATGAACTGTTGCAAATCAAGGACTACTTATATGTATCCTGATATGCAGAAGGGGAAAAAAAAGAAATCTCAAGACCAATAGCTGGCTCAGGAATTCTGGGAATTGAAGTCCACGAGTCATAAAAGAGCCAAGGTTGCCTACCCCTGATTTAGGGCATTCCCAACTTTGTAACAGCTCTTTTGGTGGGAATCCTGTCCTTTGTGAATTAACAGACCTAACTGGCATGCTCTCATTAAACTCTCATAGTTTCTGATGCAGCAGATCCCTGAAAAGGAACCTTGAACAGCAAATGGGTCATGCAGATGGGCGGGCTGACTTCATGGTGATCACTACTTGAAGAATTTGAGTTACAGGTACTTGAACTACATCTGTTCGTTTTATGTGCTTTGCAAGAATACGGTGTTACAGATTTAAAATATGTTATCTTGTACAATATTCCTTTTTAAAAATGTAGGAAAAGTAAACAGGGCAAAAGGATGGGAGTAAAGATTAGAGTGCTTCTCATTAACTAATTATCTCTTCTTCAAATTGTATTTCGTATTTTTTAAAAAAGAAATGGTCTTATTGTATATTATGGCAGGTTATTATTGCTAGTGAACCAGCTAAACCAGTGGTTCTCAACCTTTCTAATGCCGCGACCCCATAATACAGTTCCCCATGCTGTCATGACCCCCAACCACTTATACATCAGGGGCGTGGCCAAAGAAAAGGGGGAAAAATGGCGGTCAGCCTTGTTTGGCAACCCCCGTGAAATGGTCGTTCGACCCCCAAATGGGGTCCCGACCCACAGGTTGAGAACCACTGAGCTAAACAAAATCTTTCTGCAAATATTTTTTAAATGATGAAAAGATAAGGAAGATAGTTTTCATAAAGGGAGGCCTCTGCCCAAATCTTTTATGTGATTCCCCTGTAGAGCAATTGGAGGACTTCTATTGGTGTCCATTAGGTCCATATTTATTTATTTATTAAAAATCGGAACAATCTAATTTCTTGAGAGAAATGTTCTAGTTCTCTACATGTGTGCCAAAAGCATCCTTGTCTCAGGAGTCTGAACTCCACACAGTGGAATCTTCACTTTTTGTTAAAGCTAATTTTTTGCCTCGTGGCTCCCTTAACAATCTTTGATAAATACTAGGGCTTACACAGACTTTGGATTTGCAGGGAAAGAAATGTGTTTCAGATCTTAGCATACATTAGCACCCTTCAGCAACTCCTGAAATCAAATTACATATTTTTCAGAATGTGAAAAGATGCTGCTGCTTCAGATAGTGGCTAGCAAATACTATGAGAGAGCCCTAGGCACTCTGAAGCACATCCAGAGCTTTGTAATACTAATAAGGTCTTTCCTCAGAACTTTTTTTATCAATGCAACATGAACAAGAAGGGCAGATTCTAAAATAGCATTCTGGTGTAGAAATGCAAAAGGATTTAAATGTAGTTTCCAGTAGCTAGCTTGCTATCTTGGAATTGCCTAGATATCAGAGAGCCGTCTTCTGAATATATTATGATAAGACTATTATCCATCTTGCTAGAAAACCAGTTTCCTAAGATTCCTTACTAACTGACATGTTAATGTGACTCAGCTGCAGCTGTATATCTTACTATAGTATGATATGCAAAACAGATTTATTTAAACCTTTTAAGCCAAATTATG